CGTCTCACGTCATTACTCCCCCTCTCATTATCCCTCTAATAAATTACCAGCTGTCAAATACTCCGCGTCAGTTACTCTCTACTCCTCGGTACTTGCTCTCTCTTGCGAATTCTTATATCGTATATTATTGGTAAATTGAAAACTCATGTGTTCTATAAAATTCCTAAAAAAGCCGATGAGATAAATCGTATATGAAAATGGGTTAGTTAACAAAGCGCGGAATAAACTAAACTTATTCATACCGATAGATTTCGTAACATTCTCGAACCCTAACTCTAACACCAAACCTAACCCTAACATTACCTCTGGATTAGGTTTACGTTAAAGTTAGAAAGACGTTTAGGGTAAATTTGTAATTTATAAAGAGTCAGTGTCCTACTATTTATTTTGGCTGGGCAATAAACTATGTGATAAGGTGGGGGGGGGGGGTAATTACCAAGGGGTAATTCATCTGGAAGGCTACAGAGGGAAGAGGTGTTCACCTGGGTAAAGTAATCCCAAATGGATTGTTGTCACACAACCACCCGCGCTAGCTGACAAAGATTTAACCAGCTTCAAATCTTATGGCCAAATGTCGTCAAACAAACTATGACAGCAGAGTTTATCAGAACTATAATGGGAGTGACGGTGTGGGCTAGCGGTTAAGCGCAAAACTGCTAACCCGGAAGTCTCGAGTTCGAATCCACCCCGCTCTGGTGGTTACTTAACTCATGTTAGGTAAAGTAACGGCTGCTGGGCATAGTGTTGACCTCATTATCCCATCATATGCCATAGTCACATAAATAGATTCGCTACATTCCTTCATGGACCTTCAAGTTCGAAAAGGGAGCGTTACAAAATAAACATGTGCTGTAAAAATACAATCTCAGGTTAACACCTTGAACTAAGCATCACGTTTTTGTTTTGTTTTACTAAGCTTTTTAATAAAATAAGTGATATTCCTTTAAAAAAAAATCTCAAATTGCTTTATTTTTGTTGTTGGAAAACTTTAGTCAATGTAATGTATAGATCTAGTAAATTTTAAAAATGATATATATTATTTCACTATAAAAGGATTATGAACTATTTTTTTATTAAAGATATTTAATTCAAGTCTATGCCATGCTCAATATAAAGTAATCCCACTTAAGTTGTAAGGGAAGAAATCAATTGGAATTAAAGTAGTAGATTTTAGAAGGCATCTACAGCCATGTGAATTGGGCCTTCATTCAGTGGACGGGTAAGTTCTAGCGTCCTTCTGACAGCTGGTGTAGCCAGGTGGATAGCTGGACAATGGCCGTCAACATAATTTGATGTCAAATGGCAGAAGTAGGTTTTTGTGAGCCTCTATGGGAGGTTTCTTTATAAGACACGACATACATTTTTTGTTTCTAATCGGTTAATGTAGCATCACTAGCAGTGCTTCTTTCAGATATTTGTCTTGTGGGGGGGGGGTATTTTAAGCATTATGGGGGGGGGGGGGGCGCTTATATTCCCGGTGGAGGTGGGCGGACACTGGCTGAAGTATATATTTTCTCTATAAAATACTTTTATTTTCTATTCCGAGGCTGCGTTCAGTGTTGCTCCCAGACTTTTTTTCTCCGGGGGGGGGGGGGGGGGGGGGGGAAGGGGGCACTTGAAATTTTCGGGGGGACGGGGACGGGGGGTGGACTAAGATCTCCGGGGGGGGGGGGGGAGGCGGACACTGTTAAAAGTATATATTTTCTATAAAAATTCCATTTCGTTCGGGGGGGGGGGGGGAGGTACAACCCCCCCCCCCCCCCCAAAGAGATGCCTTGAAGAAACTGGCTGTGTCCCATCGAAAAGCTGCCGGAAAGAAACATTGATGCCTAACAAAGCGCTTACATTTCCAGTTAGGGTGGGGGCGTGACGGACACTGTCTAAGGTTTATATTCTCTTTATAAATTACTTTTATTTTCTATTCCGGGGCTGCGCCCCCTCGAAGAGATGCCTGAAAGAAACACTTATCCCAATCATAGCTTTCACATTCTCACTCTGCGATGGTCGTAATCTTGTCAAAACAATACAGAGACGAAGATATTAAAAACTGAAATGCAACTTGAAATAAAACTCTCTCTTGGTGTCTGGAGATTCAACTGATAACAACGATAAATGAACAACTTAATTTTTCATTGGTGTGTCCGTGTTTTTTTATCTGTGGTGATAACAACTGTGTAGGCGCGGGTCGGGTGATTGGACACATCTACCTGTTAGTTACCTGGTCTCACCTGTGTCTTGATGTGTCAGGCTTATCACCTGTGTCCAGTATAATTTCTCTGGGCAGTGACAGACTGAAGGCATCTGATAGGTGAGCGATAGATCAGTTTTACTAAATTAAAAGTAATAATACGGGCTATGTCTGTATGCGAATTCTAGCTCTTTTAATTGTCAACATTGTAATTAAGATGAGATGTTGTGTTATTAACATACGGAAATATGAAGGTATTATTAAAAAAAATGGGATAACGTTAACCCATTATCTACCATCATATATATATATATATATATATATATATATATATATATATATATATATATATATATATATATGTATATATATAGCATTTCCATTAACAACCCCACTATATTTAACCCCCCCCCCCCTTCCACAACACACCACTTGAAATTATTGGTATAACAATGAATGTTATGAGAATTCTATTCACGTCTACTATTTACTGGAGTTTTTTTCTGAGGTAAATTAGAACTAACGTCGGTGGCACGTTATGTTACGAAGTTACAAAGTTAGATGAATATCTAAGAAACATGTTGTATGTAATGGGTCACATAATATCTGCCGCATAAGATATGACTGAAAAAAAGTAAGTTTAGTCCACTAGATAGCACGAATCAAGTAATACGCTGAATTCATCGAGGTCAACTAAAGTCTCGAGTTCGAACCCTCGGGCAGATGAGGCTCGTTAGCTGGGGACAGCCACTCTTCTAGGAGAAACAACTCCTAAATCAAACAACTGCTGCCTTGTAGTTTGTTCTTGGTTGGACAAAGGCTATCGAAGCAAACCCAAAAAGAAAAGCAGGCTGAAATCGGAGTCAACGGCCTCAATGGTGCATAACCAGTTGACACGTATCCTTAATTGTGTTGGAAGCGTGGACGAGTCGGCAAAGCTCATGGTTGATAAAATTCGAAAAAAAAAGTCTCGAGTTCAAACCCACTGGCAGATAAATCTCGATTCCTTTCAACACTAATAATTAAGAACGAAGAAGAAAGAAGAACTAAGCAGGAATCATTTTGTCAATACGATTAACAAAACTTTCCTTGTTTTTTTGTTGTTGTTTATGGCTTTAGACATATAGTATACAACATCAGTTCATTTGTCATATTCGCTTTAGTATTATTTTTAAGAAAAAAAAAACTTTTAAAACAAGTAAAACAACATTAAACTCAATTATATAATTTCAAACAAAGTGGTTTATAGTGTTCCCATAAGGTAATAAATGATCTCAAAAGGTTATTACAAAAACATTGAAGATATATTTACAAGTATATATATACAAAATAAATAAATATGCTGTTTAGACGATTTTTAATAACATTTATTTACAATGTGTATACATGGAGGTAATTAATAGATCTAGTAAGTATCTGCTAGTGAAAATCTTCATACGTCAAGCGAGAGGAGGGGGCATGGCAGGGGCGGAACTACAGTGCCGCCAGACCCCGCAATGCGGGGGGGGGGGGGGGGGGCCAGACCGATTGGGGGCCCAAAAATCCTGGCTAAATTATTACAAAAAAAAAAGGTGGAGGTCGAGCTATCTTTTTTCTACAGTTACAAACAAACACGATAGTCGGCAAACGTCTTTGAGAAAAATGCACAGACTATAGCTCGAGAGACCGCCAGACATATAGACAACTTCAAAGACGTAGCCTACCGTTCTTTTTAGTGGCGTCGATTAGGAGAACAAAAAAGCATTGTTATATTGTTTACGGCTACAGGACATTACCCCCCTGGATATTTCCCCCCCGGACATTCCCCCCCCCGTATTTACCCCCCGGAGCAATTACCCCCCTGTCAATTACCCCCCTGTCAATTACCCCCCCCCCGGGAATTACCCCCCCCCCCCTCTCAAGTTAAAATCCTAACTCTAACTAGAATTTTATACCTATATACTACTTTAATCCAAATTTAAGAAAAAGACCAAAACCTAAGCATCCACCTTAGCCTAAAACTTCACACAAAACGAAAACCAAAGCTAGACACAACCCTAACCCTAACACTAGCTCTAACCCTAACCCTAGCCCTAACCCTAACCCTAATCTTAACCCTAACCCTAACCCTAGCCCTAGCCCTAGCCCTAACCCTAACCCTAACCCTAACCCTAGCCCTAGCCCTAGCCCTAGCCCTAGCCCTAGCCCTAGCCCTAGCCCTAGCCCTAGCCCTAGCCCTAGCCCTAGCCCTAGCCCTAGCCCTAGCCCTAGCCCTAGCCCTAGCCCTAGCCCTAACCCTAACCCTAACCCTAACCCTAACCCTAGACCTAGCCCTAGCCCTAGCCCTAGCCCTAGCACTAGCCCTAGCCCTAGCCCTAGCCCTAGCCCTAGCCCTAGCCCTAACCCTAAACCTAACCCTAACCATAAACCTAACCCTAACCCTAGCCCTAGCCCTAGCCCTAGCCCTAGCCCTAGCCCTAGCCCTAGCCCTAGCCCTAGCCCTAGCCCTAGCCCTAGCCCTAGCCCTAACCCTAGCCCTAGCCCTAGCCCTAGCCCTAGCCCTAGCCCTAGCCCTAGCCCTAGCCCTAGCCCTAGCCCTAGCCCTAGCCCTAGCCCTAGCCCTAGCCCTAGCCCTAGCCCTAAACCTAGCCCTAACCCTAACCCTAACTCTAACCCAGTCCGGGGGTGGGGGGGGGTAATGTCCTACTGGGCGGGGGGTAATTGACAGGGGGGTAATTGACAGGGGGGTAATTACTCGGGGGGGGGGGGGGGTAATGTCGGGGGGGAAATATCCGGGGGGTAATTGACAGGGGGGAAATGCCCTGTTCCCATT